ACTGATCGTCTCTCTCTCTCTCTCTCTCTCCCGTTGGACGGTGTCGGGTTCGATAAATAATAATAATAATAATAATAATAATAATAATGATAATAATAATAATAATGATAATAATAATAGCAAAGTAACAAGTAGACGTATCGCGTCGAGAAGGGGGGGGGGAGAGAGATTAAAGATTAAACGGTACGGTATGGTAAACGTATGGGCAAGCTTTGATGCATACCATGTGAATGGTCCCACGGTTGGGATCCGTGGTGAAATGCGGTGAAACTGGTGCAGCACCTGGTGCCCAGCCCGGCGCTGAACCCGTCAACGGTGGTGGCGAACTGACTGGCGTGGATGGGTTGCTGCTATAACTCGATACTGATTGGTCCGTGGGGTAAATCTGGTTGAAAACGGGCGGGAATAATAGAGAAAAAAAAAAAAAGAAAAAGAAACGCATTTTCACGCATACATATATATATACGCAGAAATAATCCAATTCTCATTGGATCAACCACTTGGGATGGACGCGTACTTACTCTTGTGCTTACTACAGACGCGAGTGTCTTGCCGAGGTTGTCTCCCGTGGCGGGTGGCTGGTTCGTCGTGGGAGCAGGATTGGGGGCGGATGGCGCGTTGGTCGGTGCACCGGGACTATGACTATATTGCAAGGATGCCGGGGACGGTGCACCGGTACCGGTGTTCGCCCCAACCGCGCCGCTACCCCGGAATGTGGACATTGGTGGCAGTGAGGCGGCGCTGGTCACCGCCGAGCCCAGAATCGGAGCCGCCGGTTCTCCGTTCGGCGACATGGCCGAGTATGCCTGCAACATCGTCCACCAATCTTCTTCATCCCTTCTTTCGACCGGCCCATCTCCCTCTCCCTCTCTTTCTCTCGATTCTTCTCCACGGATCGGAGAGGAGAGGAACGAAGGCTTTCGAGGCTCGCTCGTAAAACGTCTAATTTTAAGTCATCGCCGCGGGATTCGGTCGGAGGGAAGAAGCGTCCCCTCCTCCTTATTTATCAACAAATTGGAGCAAGTTGACGAGCAACCCCTCGCCGAGCGAGAAGGAGGAGGAAGAACGAGGTGATGATAATTGGGTTTCACGAAAGCAAGGTCGGTTGTTCCGCGGCGATCGTACGTTTCTTCCCAAACACAAAAGAATTCTTGCTCCGCCGTTGCGCCGGTGGACAGCTTCTAGGAAGAAGGGGTCGTTAAACCCCGGGAGGATCGTAAATGTTTAACCTTTGGACCGGAGAGGAGAGGAGAGGAGAGGTCTCGGTTGTGGGCGCAGCGACGCTCCGCGTCTTTTGTCGAACGTTCACCTCCGTATTATATTATGCATAATGCGCGCCATTCCTCTCCCTCCTTCTCTCTCTCTCTCTCTCTCTCTCTATCCAACCATCCGGATCGTTCCCTCTTCTTTCGGAGCGATTTTGGAGGAGGAACTCGTACAACTCGTCTCGAAATCGTCCGATCCGAGTTCGGGGATCGATTAGTTCGGGATTGGCGAAGAAGAAGAAGAAGAAGAAGAAGAAGAAGAAGAAGAGGAGCCAATTCGGGAGGAGGAGTGTTCGGGGTGCCGCGAACAGGAGGATTTCGTGGTAACCATGAACGGCGTAAATCAAACGAAGGCTGCACTTGACTAGAAACACCGAGTAGCGGGAGAGTCGTTCTATATATAGAAGCCAGTGAGTCATTTGACGTTGCTCCGGCTACACCAAGCCACTGTCAACACAGTGTTTCTCAACTGGCTTCCTCCAGAGAGGAGAGAGAGAGAGAGAGAGCAACAACTCTTTCTGCCTTATCCGTAATCGCCAACAAGAGTAAAAAGCTGTCGAGGAGGGAAAGAGGGACGAGCCAAATCCGCGCCCTCTTCTTCTTCTTCTTCTTCTTCTTCTTCTTCTTCCTCCTTCTGCTCCCCCGGAATGGTGGAAACGGATTATTAAAGTCGGCCGAATCGATCCGACCCGATCGAGAAGAGCGAGGAGAAGGTGGTGGTGGCCCTCCTTCTCCTCCACTCTGACAATGTCAAACGAGTCGAACGTCTTCCGACGAGTCGGAGGAAAAATGGCCGCGAACCGGGTGAATTTATGGGCGCTGCAGCGTAACGCGGGGAAGATTGCAATTTTTCACCGTCAACCTTTCCCTCCTCCGTTTCCGCGATTCGACCCGGGGCCGCGCGACGAAAATATATCGACGTTGCGAAACTTCGTCCGGAAACGGTGGAGGAATTCGCGACGAATGGAGGAAGGGGGGAGGTCGTTATTAACGAAGGGCCGAATCGATCGAAAGGAAAGAGGAGGAGGAGGAGGAGGAGGGAAGAGAGATTAGGAGAGGAGAAAGAAAGAAACGAAGGAGAGAGAGAGTCGTCTTACCATGGGGTCGTGGGGTAGGTGCATGGGATAGGCTGGTTGGGCCAGGTGTGGGGGCGCGTATCCGCTGTACGGGGGCTGGACGCCTCCGCTGCCCCCCGTCCATGGATCACCAGGACCCGTTCCCGCTGCGTTTCCATCTGAAACAAGAAAGAAGAATACGATTTGATTAACGAATGGCCATCGAATCTCGTTCCTACCTCTCGTTTCTTCTCGCTTTGACGCAACAAATAGTGGCACGTGGCGCGGTGTCGTCGGATGCGCATGTGCCACGTAAAACGTCGCGAATTTTTCACATCGAAACGCGAATCGAAAGGAGAGAAAGAGAGAAAGGAGGAGTGGAAAACACGCGTCGGATCCAAATTTCCAAGTTGGAAAGGTGAGGGCAAAGGATAAAGGTATATCCTTTTGGTTTGGGATACCCGGGTAGTATAAAGGGGCAATACGCGGCCCATTATTTCAGTTGAAAACAACAGCAATAAGGCTGAGGGGAGGGAACGTATTTCTTGATACTTTTGCTCGATATAATTCCGTGGCCGAGGAGTTTCCACCACCACGGATGGGAGGTGGAACTGAAACTAAGCCAAACTACTCGTCCGTTCCTACTACTACCAACTACCTAGGCATTCGATGTCTGATAAAACTTTTTCGCCGTCCCCGTCCTCTTCCCCTCCCCATTTATAAGGTATTCCGCTCGCTTACCGGGTGTCACGAGCCGAGAACGTATTCGAGAAGACCGGCCAACGAGCCACCCTCCTTACCCTCTGATCTTTAATAACAACTTTACCCGGAAACTTTACCGATCTTATTGATTTACCGCCTCCGGTAATCCATCCGACGAAACTTCCCATGCGTCCGTCCATCTCTCTCTCTCTCTCTCTCTCTCTTCGTTCCTCCCCTACGAAAATATTCTTTAACCGCGATTACAAAAAGCGATTCGTTACGAATCGATGATGAAAAATAGTATATCTACCCCGTGATAAATTCTTCGTTTCGAAAACGAATTTCACAATTGGTCGAAGAAATCGCGCGCAAAATCGATCGCTAGGCATTAGAGAGAGAGAGAGAGAGATTGGCGTGGAATATAATGCCACGTAAATTACGTTAGGCATGAAAATAGAAACGCCGGGAATATAAAGTTTACGCTCGGGTTGCACGATCGGGGAGGAAACGCGCGTGGATGCGGTTTCCCTCCTCCCCTCCGCCCGATCTTTCCCATCTTTTCCCGCGAAATTTCAACGCGCAACTTGGGACGCGCCGCCGCCGTTCCAGCAAATAACGAGATAGAGAGAGAGAGAGAGAGAGAGAGATTGTTATTGTTTTTACGCGCGACAGAGGCAGAGCGGCGAATTTTACGAGCGAGCGTTAAACAGTTGAATATTACTGCGATCGTAAACTCCCTTTTATCGTTCGTTCGAAATCGTTATGTACGCGATTTCCACCAGATATAGATATGCGCGCGCGCGCGCGGATCGGAACACGATCGCGAACTGGATCGGGAGAGGCCTCATAACGTTGACCAATCAAGGATCGATCGGATCCAACCGAATGCCTTTGCCTCCGCGTTTTACTTTCAACAAAATAGCCGGGTTTCGATCCAAGTTCAACGGAGGCGACCTACATTTTCGACCTCGCGATTGTTCGTGAAAAACGTGCACGACGAGAGATCCGTGAAGGATGGAACGATTTTTCCTTTCTCCCTCTTTTTTTAACGCGCTACTCTCTCTCCCTCTCTCTCTCTCTCTCTCTCTCTCTCTCTC